TTTATTTACTTTTTTATTTTAATATTTGTTTGCATGTTTGTTATGTATTTTTTTTCCTTCTCCAACGCACATTACTCAGCATGGTTGCGCAGTCCAATCGTCTCTCATCTCCTGAAACCCACTTTATTCTTCTCAGTATTTCCTTTGGGGCCTGTGGAGTGACCGCCACAGGCCCCTGAGGCACTCGGAGGCTCTGTGCCACAGCGTAGAAGACCAGATTGAGTGCCACAGCGCAGAAGGCCAGACGTAGTGCCACAGCGCAGAAGGCCAGACGTAGTGCCACAGCGTAGAAGGCCAGACGTAGTGCCACAGCGCAGAAGGCCAGACGTAGTGCCACAGCGCAGAAGGCCAGACGTAGTGCCACAGCGTAGAAGGCCAGATGTAGTGCCACAGCGCAGAAGGCCAGACGTAGTGCCACAGCGCGGCTAGCCCCGGGCGGCTAGGCGTAAATGTGACGTCCCAAGTGCCGTCCTCCTTTAGCTCCAAGACGCTTCCAGCCCCACCATTAGTTTATTTCAAATTATCAAGGGCCACAAAGTGTCCTTCCGAAAGCCGACACTGGCATTATTAGCCGATTTCCATCCGTCCTCGTAACCATATGTGTGTGTGTGTGTGTGTGTGTGTGTGTGTGTGTGTGTGTGTGTGTGTGTGTGTGTGTGTGTGTGTGTGTGTGTGTGTGTGTGTGTGTGTGTATTCATGTACGTACGTGTATGCCAGCATGTGAAAAAAAGATAAATGAACTGATCATCAAAAAGACACAATTAGCCATCGTGTTCCTTGCTCGTAGCGGGTCAGCAGGTGGTGGCCGCGGGGACGCAGGCCAACTCCCGCAAGCAAAAGTCCAGATTGTATGCTGCTAATGCGGAAGCTCCATTCGGGTAGCATGTAATTGTACTGATTATCTGTAATTCACTGGATAATATTGGGCGTTATCTTGTCCGGCGGGCGCTGTAGTTAGAGGAGAGTAGAGATAAACAGGGGGGGATCATCTTCAATTATTCGTAGCACTACACGAACACAAAATATAAATCGAGAAAGCAAGTAGGTCTGTCGATAAAATGCTGATCCGTTGCTATAGCTGTCGGTCTATCACTTTCTGGTCTAACGTTGCAACTATCCGTTCTGTAAGGTTTGTGGTCCACTGAGTTTGGCTAAAAAAAATAGGGTGAGAAAGATATGGTTTTATTGAAGGTCAGAAAATTTGGTTGTTATCGTGATCATTATCATTATTATTATTATTATTATTAGCCGTAGTATTAGTAGTATTAGCAACAGCAGCAGAAATAGTAGTGGTGAG